TGACGTCACTTCCTTCCCAACATCTCCCCCCCCGCGCGGTCGCTTAGCAACCCCTCTCCTCTGCTGACGTCACTTCCCCCTTCTCCTCCCTCTCCTCCCCCCTCATGGCTTCCGTGTCGGTTTTCCCGTCCCCGCAGGAGCTCGGCGCGTTCCTGGCGCGCTCGGTGGCGGCAGCGGCGGCCCAGGCGGTGACGAGCGGCGGCCGCTTCTCGCTGGGGCTCTCCGGGGGTTCCCTGGTGCCGCTGCTCGCGCGGGAATTGGGCGGGGCTTTGGCCGATGTGGGCGGGGCCCAACCGGCCCGGTGGATTCTGGCGTTTTGTGATGAGCGATTGGTGCCCCCCGAGCACCCCGAGAGCACCTGCGGGGCGTACCGGGTGAGCGGCGGATTCCCAGTTTGTCCCAGTTAGTCCCAGTTCATCCTAATCCCCTCCCAGTTCATCCCAGTTCATCCCAGTTAGTTCCCAGTTCATCCCGAGAGCACCTACGGGGCGTACCGGGTGAGGAGCGGGTTCCCAGTTCATCCCAGTTCATCCCAGTCCATCACAGTTAGTTCCCAGTTCATCCCAGTTAGACCCAGTTCATCCTAATCCCCTCCCAGTTCATCCCGAGAGCACCTGCGGGGCGTACCGGGTGAGGAGCGGATTCCCAGTTCGTCCCAGTTCATCCTAATCCCTTCCCAGTTAGTCCCAGTTAGTCCCAGGTGCTGTCCCAGTTCATCCCAGTTCATCCCAGTTAGTCCCAGTTAGTCCCAGCTAGTCCCAGTTAGTCCCAGTTCATCCCGAGAGCACCTGCGGGGCGTACCGGGTGAGGGGCGGATTCCCAGTTAGTCCCAGTTAGTTCCCAGTTAGTCCCAGTTCATCCTAATCCCTTCCCAGTTAGTTCCCAGTTCATCCCACTTAGTTCCCAGTTAGTCCTAATCCCCTCCCAGTTAGTTCCCAGTTCATCCCAGTTCATCCCGAGAGCACCTGCGGGGCTTACCGGGTGAGCGGCGGATTCCCAGTTCATCCCAGTTCATCCCAGTTAGTTCCCAGTTAGTCCTAATCCCTTCCCAGTTAGTCCCAGTTAGTCCCAGGTGCTGTCCCAGTTCATCCCAGTTCATCCCAGTTCATCCCAGTTCATCCCAGTTCATCCTAATCCCCTCCCAGTTCATCCTAATCCCGTCCCAGTTAGTTCCCAGTTCATCCCAGTTAGTTCCCAGTTCATCCCAGTTCATCCCGAGAGCACCTGCGGGGCGTACCGGGTGAGCGGCGGCGTCCCAGTTCATCCCAGTTCATCCCAGTTAGTTCCCAGTTAGTCCCAGTTCATCCTAATCCCCTCCCAGTTAGTTCCCAGTTCATCCCAGTTCATCCCAGTTCATCCTAATCCCTTCCCAGTTCATCCCAGTTAGTTCCCAGTTAGTCCCAGTTAGTCCCAGTTCATCCCGAGAGCACCTGCGGGGCGTACCGGGTGAGGGGTGGATTCCCAGTTCATCCCAGTTCATCCCAGTTAGTCCCAGTTCATCCTAATCCCTTCCCAGTTAGTTCCCAGATCATCCCAGTTCATCCCAGTTAGTCCCAGTTCATCCCGAGAGCACCTGCGGGGCGTACCGGGTGAGCGGCGGGGAAGGGGCAGCTTCCCGGTGCTTCCCAGTTCATCCCAGTTGCTTCCCAGTTTGTCCCAGTTCATTCCAGTTCATCCCAGTCCACCCCAGTCCATTCCCAGTCCCTCCCAGTCCCTCCCAGTCCATCCCAGTTCATCCCAGTCCATCCCAATCCCAGGTGCTGTCCCAGTTGCCCATTCCCAGTCCCTCCCAGTCCATCCCAGTTAATCCCAGTCCATCCCAGTCCATCCCAGTCCCTCCCAGTCCATCCCAGTCCATTCCCAGTCCCTCCCAGTCCATCCCAGTTAATCCCAGTCCATCCCAGTTAATCCCAGTCCATCCCAGTCAATCCCAGTTCATCCCAGTCCATCCCAGTCAATCCCAGTTCATCCCAGTCAATCCCAGTTCATCCCAGTCCCAGGTGCTGTCCCAGTTGCCCATTCCGAGTCCATCCCAGTCCATCCCAGTCCGTCCCAGTTAGTCCCAGTCCATCCCAGTCCATCCCAGTTAATCCCAGTTAATCCCAGTCCATCCCAGTTAATCCCAGTTCATCCCAGTCCCAGGTGCTGTCCCAGTTGCCCATTCCTCAGTCCATCCCAGTCCATTCCCAGTCCCATCCCAGTCCATCCCAGTTCATCCCAGTTCATCCCAGTCCATCCCAGTTCATCCCAGTCCCTCCCAGTCCATCCCAGTTAATCCCAGTTAATCCGAGTCCCTCCCAGTCCATCCCAGTTAATCCCAGTTCATCCCAGTCCCAGGTGCTGTCCCAGTTTCCCGCCCCCGGGCCCCGCGTGCTCTCGGTCAATCCCGGACTGGACCCGAACGGCGCCGCCAGAGATTACTGGGAACAGCTGAAAATGGTACTGGGATGGACTGGGATGGACTGGGAATGGCTGAAAACGGTACTGGGATACTGGGATATACTGGGATATACTGGGATATACTGGGATATACTGGGA